ATTGCAAGCTAAGCAAGACAGCTACCCAACCAACTCAGGTTACAAGGATGATAACATCAAGTTCTAGTAAACCCTAACATAGGATTCAAATTATGACTCAGCATGCAACTAATGGTCTAACTACACTAACTCAAAGTAAAACAAATGTAGGAGCAAGATGGTCAAGGACACTTGCCTTAGGCTTAGAAACGCATAATAACTCAAACTCTAGGTCTTCGGGATCCACCGATGACTTCTCTTCTATCATGGCAAACTTCGGGCACATAGACATACAAGCAAACATATACAAATAAATAAAAGCAGTATACCAAACATGATAAACAACTTATGAAAAGGTTACTTACAAGTAGGTCTTGTTTCTACGATCGCGTGAGCGTAAGAAACACTGAAAATGGAGATCGAGACGGAAAAGATACGGACTCTGAAAGATTTATCGGGAGGAGGGGCATTTTCAGGTATTTCACTTGAAAAGCGCTGAAATAAATAAAATAATTAGTATTGGGGGATTAAACAATGATAGAGATACATATTGGAGAGATGAAACTAAAAGAATTGAATTCGGATATCATATGAATGAATAATAGATGAAAAGGATGGAAATTAAATGAACCAGGGACCTATCTACGAAACCAGGGACCTATCTGTGATTTCCAAAAATAAATAATCACGAAGGGGTCCTTCTTCTTCCTCACTGAGTTGGATCGGCATGGCAGGGGAAGTTACTGTTCGCGCTAGGAAACAGAGGGGCTCGGCCATGGAGGGGAAAGGCAGGCTAAGGGAAGTTAGGCGGCCGCCGTGGAGGAGCCGTGGGGAAAGTCAAGGCGGTCAATGTGGGGCTTTGTTAGCTAGCCAATGGTGCAAATGATGAGAGCCACTACTGCAGTAGGCCAAGCGGCATGGGGCCCTGTGGCGTGCAGCAGCACGACCTGTAGAGGGGCAGGGAGGTGTCACCCACCGGGAGAGTTGGTCGTGCAGGCCAAGGGGGCAGCCAGGGGGCATGTACGGCTGGAAACCGAGGGAGAGAAGCGCCCATGGCCAGTGACAGCCGAGAACAGAGAGAAAAGGAGCCGGCCATGGACGATCTCGCCAGAGAAGGAAGATGAGATGGGAAATGGGTCAAACGGTAATGGATTCGCCCAATAGGATATACCACGATGTAGAGAACAACGAGATCTACCTCTGGGTGGTCTCAGAATTCACAGGGGATGCCGGAGTTGGCCAGAAAGGCTCGCTGAACCTTCACCGGAAAAGTTCACCGTCGCAACTTCGGCGATAGATGTAGGGCAAAGGGATTGGCGGCTCATGAAACCGATCGTACTTTTGGAATGAGGGCATCAAGGAGAACACCGGCATGTATTTATAGACAGGGTTTGGGTCGGTGGAAAAATTAGGGTTTTGGGATTATTTTAATTTCGCGAATTAAAATAATTCTAGAAAATCCAGAATTGCTTTTTAAGCCACGAAAAATAGCCCTTCACATTATATTACAAAAGTTATTTAAAAATCAACATTTTTCACATTATAAATTGCAAAAACCCTAATTAAATCTTGGAAACTTTAGAAAATGATAAAAGCATTAATTTTATTCAGTGAAAACTATTCACAACCCAAAATGGAATTTTTGGGGTGTGACAACAATGGTCATGATGTTTGTGATTGATAGGGTGATGAACCTGGTCATTTATCTTGATCATCATGATATGATTTGTTCTGGTATCAATTGGGATGACATTGTAGCAAATCCTGTCTGTAGTTTGCCCAAGGTCTTTAGTCCTGTTATGGTTGTGATAGCTGAAAGGAAGGAAGGGGAGAAATTGCTAGTGTTTTACACAAACTTGAGGAAGGTCACTGAGTGGAACCAAGATCTAATACATGATGGCATTGAGGCAGATGACAGTAATTCAGATGACTCAGACTTTAATGATAGTGATTATGAGATTGGATTTTCTGATGATGACCTATTTGCTGACAATGTCGATGCTGGTGTGTTTGATGAAGGGGCAACTAAGGGTTATAAAATGTTCAAATGGAAGAAGGCTGTGGGCAGCAAACTCAAGAGGAAGCAATCTATGACTATGTCAGTTGGAGATGAGGATGAATCAACAGAAGAGGAAGAGATTGCCTTGGTAGATTCTGATGAAGGTAGCAATAGGAACAGGTTCAGGGAATTTCGACAAGAAGATTTGCTGAATCCATCATTCAGGGTAGGGCAAGTATTTGGTACAGTTGAGCTTGTGAGGAAGGCCATCACAGAGTACAGCCTTAGGAATAGGGTAGAGATCAAAATGCCCAGAAATGATAGGAAGAGAGTCAAGGTTCATTGTGCTGAAGGGTGTCCATGGAACTTCTATGCATCTATGGACAGTAGGACAAATTGTTTTCTAGTGAAGACATACAATGGCCATCACAACTACCAGAAAAAGTGGATGATCAAGACTTGTACCTCCAAATGGCTTACAGAGAAGTACTTGGAAACATTTAGGGCAGACAACAAGATGACCCTACCTAACTTTGCAAGAACTGTTCAAAAGGAATGGAACCTTACTCCATCTAGAACCAAGCTATGGAGAGCAAGAAAATTTGCATTGCAGACTATATATGGTGATGAGTTGAAGCAGTACTCTCAGTTGTGGGATTATGGGCAAGAGTTGAGAAGGTCCAATCCTAGTAGCAGCTTCTACCTTAATCTAATAGAAGGAGCATTTAGTAGTTGTTACTTATCACTTGATGCTTGCAAAAGAGGCTTCTTAAGTGGATACAGACCAATCATCTTTTTGGATGGATGCCACCTGAAGACAAAGTTTGGAGGGCAGTTGCTTACTGTTGTAGGGATGGATCCAAATGATTACATCTTCCCATTTACTTACTGCTGTAGGGATGAATCCAAATGTAGGGTGGAAGTTGAATCTCTCTTGTCCTGGAAATGGTTTCTGCAAAGCCTGAAAGATGACCTCCGCATTGACAACACATTTCCATGGACTATCATGACAGACAAGCAAAAGGTATAATAACATTTGCACAAAGTTTTCTGCATAATCATTGACTAATAACATTTGCATGTTTGTTCACTAACACATCTCCCCCACCACCCGCGCCTAGAGGGCCCTCAAGGGGCGGCCGTCGGGCCATACTCGCTCTCTGCCAGTGCCGCCTCCGTGAACGGCACCAGTCGCCAGCGTCGCCACGCTCCGCCCCTTTTCCCCCTTTCATCGAGGTCCAAGAGAAAGGAAAGGAGTGAGTGGGAGAAGATGAGATCGTCCGGGGGCCTTCTTGCTAAAAAGCCAGCAACGGCGAGGGTCACGTGTGCCTCACGTTCCTCCCCTGCGTACGTGGACAGCCACGTGGGCTGCTTGACACCGCCTGGGCTGTTTAGGACTTAGATGGACCGAATTAAGTAGATTGGGGAGTCAAGAGTGCGATTTCATAGTTTGGAGACCCAGACGAAATCAGCCCAATACTTTAAGGACTGGCCGTGTAATTTTCTCTTTTAAGATTTTATATGAAAGATTCTTCCAATGTTCTCCCCATATTATTAGGCTAGACGCTTGACTAGAAAATTTGAATTATGTACTTTGTAAAGATATCTAGTAAATCATCATCAATATTGTGTCTCTGAAAATTGAAAAAGAAGATTTAGGTGCAATATATGAGGAAGTAGCCAAGAAGTGCTTGCCACGTGTTCTTATCGCTAATATATTGTTCTTCTTCAAGCATTCTGCATCTAGCAGTCTCAACTCTCAACAGCATTCCAAGCATCAACAGGTGTGATCTTTACTTCCCAATGTCACTCCTATCTTATATGAGCTAAACATTTAACAAACACACATGTTGTAGAAATATAGCTGGTGAATATCCTTGCCACGAAGGCAGCAAAATTCTGGAATTGAGCCTTTTGCAGTGTGGTCCCCTTTTTGTATATAGCACTACATATCTAGAACCGCCTAAATTGTTTGGGTTGTTGAGTAAAGTTGCATAATTGTGAAAAACGTATTGCTAAGTACTCCCTCCCTCACTAAATGGATGTCGTTTTCGTTTCCCGATAAATAACTTTGACTAAATATATATTAAAAAATATTAATATTTATGATATATAATTAGTATCATTGATAGATATTTGAATCTATTTTTTTAATAAATTTAGTTAAAAGATAGAAATGTTGCATGAATTTTCTATAAATCAAATCAAAGTTATTGACACGTAAATCGTGACAACTAACGTCTAGGGTTTCTGCCAATCCTGAACAAAATATTGCGTTTGGCTTTTCTATAACGTCTACACATGACAGTGCACGTATTTTTTATAATGGGACAGGGAAAAGAGGAGATTGGTTCTTGTACTAAATATCAGTTTATAAATCAGTTGGGATAGGATTAGTTTACAATGATCTTATCTGTCTGCTCATGGAACACATTTTTCATGTTCGTTTTATCTTATCGCTATAGTATTTTTCTCTCACAATAGATCAGCGAACGGTATTTTTTAGCCTATCTTTTCAGTGAAATGAATCAGGTTTACAATGAGTTGATGACTGACAAGACAGATGAAGGTTCTATTGCACGAGTCCCAAAATCAGGGGTGTGGACTGTAGCCATTTCCTCCAATTCCTTGCTGAGTTTTACACACCTTCCATGATCTAAGACTAGAACTTACAGTACTTTTGTGTAGGCACTCCTTGCTGTATTTGAAGGAGCATTTTGATGGGAAACAATACATGAACCACCTGAATTAACTCAACTAATTTGTGCTATATTAGCAGCAGATAATTCCCGATGGAATCTGAAATTCCGCTTTCCAATTCCAAACCAAATGTGCCACGGCGGCCCCGGGGCGGTGGGCTCAAGCCAGGGCGTTTGAAATTTAAGTCCCTACCGGCATTCCTTTTCCATTCTCTTCGCCAATTCGTTCTCGGCACAATGGCATCGCCGCCCGCGCCGCTAGCCACCGCCGACGCCCGCGCGACCGTTCCTGACGGCGGCGCCTTCGCTCAAGTCCGCGCTGCTCATCGTCTTGGCCTTGCTGGTGGTTGCCGTCGCCGCGATCCTGCTGCTCCGCTGCCTCCTCCGCCGGTGGGCCGCGTCGTCGCCGTCGTCGCATGCGCATCCACGACGCGGGGGAGGTGGCGAGGCGGCCGGGCGTCCCGGCGGAGAGGGATGATCGAGCAGACGCCGGCGCGGCGGGGAGGCAGGAGGCGGGGCCGGCGAGGATGATCGCCGTGGCGGTGGAGGAGGAGGAGGAGGAGGCAGAGGAGGTGCATCCGGTGAGGGAGCAGCCGGAGGCAGGCACGGACGCCGACACCGACACGGAGTGCCTCATCGCGTCGCTGCCCTTGTTCACCATGGCGTCGGCGATGGCGGCGCTGCCGAAGAACTCTCCGGACTGCGCCATCTGCCTCTCGCCGCTCGACGCCAGCGCCGAGCTGCGGCTCCTCCCGGTGTGCCGCCACGCGTTCCACGCCGCCTAAATCGACGCGTCGCTCCGCACCAACCCGGTCTGCCCGATCTGCCGCAGCGCCGTCTTGTCCCCGCCGCTCCCGCCCCTCCCCGTCGCCGCCACCGCCACGGCCGCGGGGGACCAGGACCAGGAGCCGCTCGGCACGCGGGCGAACAGCCGCAGCAGGAAGAGCTTCCGCGTCGAGCTCGGCAGTGTCAGCAACCGCCGCTCCTCCGCCGCGGGCGGCGACGAGCGGCGCCGCACCTACTCGCTCGGCGGCTTCTTCGACTACCGCGTCGACGAGGAGGTCGAGGCCATCGTGTCCCGCGTCGTCCGCCCCATGGCGGCGAGGCCTAGGACGGCAAGCTCTGGCGGAGGCGGTGGGGTCCCGCGGGTGGCTGGGCGAGTACCTCGACCGCGTCGCCGCCTCGACGACGTCCCTCTCCCGGCGGCTGAGCCTTGACCGCCGGCCCGACGACGACTCGACGCGGTGGGATCCGGAGGCCGCGGCGGTGGCCAAGTCGGCGTCGGCGTCTCTCTCCGGGCGGTGGAGCTGGCGCTGGAGCCAGGGCAACCGGCGCGACGAGCTCTGGGACACGGACGCGCCGCGCCGCGCTGAGGGCGGCGAGGAGGGGCCGGCGCCCGTGGCCCTGAGCCGCTGGATCTTCGGCTTATAGCTGTGATGAACTGATGATGATCGTGATTGTTGAAGCATGTCACTCCGGGTTAGGTTATGAATGAAAACCAAAACCCAACGGCTAAGCATTTCTTCGCTTATTAATTGAGCTTAGTTTGTCAGCTGCTACAGTAGAATCTCTGTTATGCTTTGTCGTTCAAATCATCACACGATTTTACACTCAAGGTATAGAAAAGGGGAAGAAGTCAAGACTTGAATTGGAAAGGCAAAGAATTGGCGTCTCCCCATTAATCAATCTGACACCGAGCGTTATATTTCAGAAAAATACTAGCTTGTTTTATGTTAGAGAAACTAAAATTAATATCCACATCTCAAATAACTTCTAGGCAAACGGGTTTCTTTAGAGCCTTACAAAAATATACAGTGACAAGCACGAGTGGCAATAGTGTCACTGCCACCGCCACGGTGCCACACATACCGAATCTAGTACAAAAAACAATCAAAACACATCAGTTCCCTAGGTTCCACGGGGAATATGACGATGGCAGCTCTGGAGGCAAAGAGTACTCCTTCCAAAACAAAGTGTCGCTACAAGGTTCATCCTGGTCAATTTTTTTTAAATTTGAATAGATTTATACAAAGTATTAGTAATATTTGTATTTTTAAATAAATTTATTATAAAATACATTTAGTGATTTATCAAATGATAATTATGCACCATACATATTAATATTTTTATATATATTTGATCAAAGTTAAAAATATTTAATTTCTCAGAAAGTGAGAATCATGCTCTTTATGATGAAGCGAGTACAATGATGGAACATGTCAAGAAGAGGAAGAAAGTTTTGACATTGTAAAAACAAACTAAGAGAAACTATGTGATTTTTTATATTAGTTTAGAAGAAATAAGCATCCAAATCGAATTGATGAGAATTTGAACTAGGTGGCACCGACAGGACCAGAGAGGCAAAGAGAGCTAGCAAAAACAGATAATATTGGTTCATCTGTTTTAGACCGTTAGATTACAATCGGATGGTTCACGCCTTCCACTGTAATCTGTCATTGAAGAAGAGGAGAAATCCAGCCCCGTAATAAACAGATAACGGTCCGGTTCGCCGTTCGCGCAATAGCGCTCCCGCATTTCGTCGAGCAGTGTGATGCCGCCGCCTCCCATCGCCGCCGCGCTCCCGGGGGCCCACCTCGGCATGGTGGTGGCCGCCTCCGGCAGCGGAGGCGCGACTCCGCCGAGGGCGGCCCCTCGGCGGGGGCGGCGCGGCAAGCCCGGGTTCTCGCGGCGTTCGGCAATCAAGAAGAGCTTCCACCAGGAGCAGGTCGTGTTCTCCACCCCCGTCCCCGCCGACCCCACCGTCGCCGTCATCGGAGGCGGCGCTTCCGGCCTCTCCTGCGCGTTTGCCCTCGCCGCCCGCGGCGTCCGCTCCGTCGTCTTCGACACGGTTCGTAACGCTCCCCTTTCCTCCCCTCCCCTGCATCCCCACCATCCACTAGCGCGGGAGGGAGGCTCACCGCACAGGCTCGCTGCTGATGCAGGGGATGCATGGCCTAGGGGGCAGGATGGCGACTAGGTTCGTCGACGGTGGCGAGCAGCTGGTGTTCGACCACGCGGCGCAGTTCTTCACCGCGAGCGACGAGAGGTTCCAGAGGCTGGTCGACGAGTGGCTCGACAGAGGGCTGATCCGTGAGTGGAGTGGCTTGGTCGGCGAGCTCGAAGCCGGTGGCCGTTTCAGGCCCATACCTTCGTTGACACCGAGGTACATCGGGGTGAATGGGATGCGCCCACTTGCAGATGCAATGCTGCCTGAGGTATATCTGATTTACTCCACCTTATCCAAGCTCCATGGAAGTGTTGTGTAGTAGTATGAAGTCATCCATATTCATTGCTATCCAGTTACTTGCACATCACCATGAATTCACCAAACATTCCACATCAATCCAAGTACCATGAAGTTATTATCTCAATGGTTTGCTGAACCTTTAAGTTCTATATTCAGTTCTTTACTTGGCTGATGAAAGTTAATCCAATTGCTGAGTTGCATGTTGCATTCTGCAGACTGATATGATCAAAGTTTTGAGGCCTTGTTGGATAAGCAAACTTGAGCCGTTCAATGGTTTGTGGCGCTTGTTTGAGAGTGAAAAGCCTCGTGGTGAATACGATGCCATTGTGATAGCTCATAATGGTCAGTACAAACTCCTTTCTAATGGGGAAAATACTGTTTCTGTAGGCAAAACATAGTTACATATTTTTGCTCAGTTTTTGGAAGTTAGGCAGTAAATTTCTGAAGTTCAGACTTTTCAATTATGTTCTTTCTCTATAACTCCACATGTTTTATGCAACCTCGATGACCTACATTATTGAATAAAATAGCACAAATGGTAAAAAAAATATTGCCTAATTATCACATTGGTATGATAACCTTTTGTTTGGCTGACACGTCCATATTTGTACATTCACCCAATCATTCTAAATGACATCATATTCCTACCTGATCCTTCTGTTACACATTGATCAGGGAAATGTGCCAACCGTCTGCTCTCTACATCAGGATTGCCATTACTAACAAAACAAATGAAGGTTTCATGGTTTTACTATTGCAATAATTTTGAACTCATGAGACATATATCCTTTAATTCCTATTTCTTACCATGTTTCATTCAATCAATGATCAGAGACTAGAGCTCAGTTCTGTCTGGGCACTTCTTGCGGCATTTGAAGATCCTCTTCCAGTTCCACGTATTGATTCTCATGGAGCATTTGAAGGAGCATTTGTGAGAGATGTCGATTCTCTCTCTTGGATGGGCAACAATACCCGCAAACTTTTTCCAATGCAGACAGGCACACCTGAGTGCTGGACATTTTTCAGTACTGCTGCTTATGGAAAAAGAAACAAAGTCCCACAGGTCTTGTTTGCTGAACTTTTTTCAATTTTTCTTGTCATGTCATTTTGTTGTATCACCCCCCCCCCCCCCCCCCCCACCCCCCCCCCCCAGTATTGATTGCTTGACAGACAGAATATAGATTCCAAGTTATTTCAGCTTTATCAGTTGACGTCTCAAATGGGTTAAGCTGTTAATTTCAGGAAAATATCCCAAAAGTTGCGGCAGAAAAGGTGAAGGAAGACATGCTTGGAGGAGTAGAACATGCTTTAGGGTTATCCAAAGGATCTCTTCAGCAACCAATTTACACAAGAGTGCAGTTATGGTATAACAAATCCATTCCTTATATCTTTTATACTTCCACTTCTCCATTAAGTTAAAACATGAGTACGAATTATCGTTGAAATCACAGGGGTGCAGCTCTACCCATGAACACTCCAGGAGTATCATGCGTATTTGATCCCCTAGGGCGAGCAGGCATCTGCGGTGACTGGCTTACTGGTTCAAGCATAGAAGCGGCTGTTTTAAGCGGGATGTCGCTCGCAAACCATGTAAAATTCAGATATCCTTTGCTCTTTTTAGAACATTCTATAGCACATCTTTGTCGCTGATAAGAAGCTTATTATAGTTGACTAAAAGAAAATAAATGTTAGTTCAATTGCTAATGCAGATAGCTTTCTTTTTTGCGATGATAATTCAGATAGCTGACTACTTTGTGAGCAACGGAGATCGACCTGAAGAGTTTGCGAATGGTCTGCACGAGGACCTAAATGCAGTTGAAGGACATGATATCAGCCAGTTTCCCGGGTTAGACACTCAGACACCACAAGTAGCGGAAGCTCAGCTGACCCCGAGCATATGATTGATTTTGTACTAATCGTTGATGTAGTTTGTAAATGGTGAGCTGATTTTGTTCTCTCCTTTTTTTGGTTGTTACAAGGAACTTGTGTATTGAATGTACATGTATCATCGATGTAGGAATTTTGTCAGAATCTGATGTTGCTACGCTTACTTTTTGTCTGGAGTTTTCTCGTCAGGGATTAAATACAGCATAACAGTAACCACAGTTATTTGAAAGATCTGAGCAAAAGAAATTTGGTGACAAAATTAGAAGAACAAGCAGCAATTATTTCGCCTATTTATTATTTATAATAGGCCGCAAACGACACGTTGCTCCTCCCCCAGAACTGTTTGCCAAAATTGGGATTTGCTAAACTGAAGACAATGCCATCTTTGGACTAGTATTTTACACAGAGTTTCTTTTGATGGTATTTTTTTTTTTAAAGAAAGTCATTGCAGATATCCAGTGCTATGAAACAAACTTGAAATTGACATTATTCAACTACTAATGCTAGAACAACAGCAGTAGCCAAGTATAATAACCAAAGAAGACCATCTGCAAGCAAGAAGCTTGCACAAGTAGACACTAACTTGTCACAGGAATACTGCAGCTATAATTAATAATAACAAAGAAGTTCTCAAGAAGGGCGGGCTTGGTGCAAGCGGTAGAGTCTTACCGCCTGTGACCGGAAGGTCCCAGGTTCGAGTCGCGGTCTCCTCGCATTGCACAGGCGAGGGTAAGGCTTGCCACTAACACCCTTCCCAAGACCCCGCACAGAGCGGGAGCTCTCTGCACTAGGTACGCCGCCCTTTAACAAAGAAGTTCTCAAGTGGTTGCAGTGGTATTTTACACCATCATCATGCCATTGTTCATATTGGAGCAGCACATGTGGTTCTGAAGTGTCCAGTCTGGTTGCAGCGGCTGCAGTGAACGACCCGCTTGACTCGCCCGCGGTCCTCCACTCGTACCCTCTTCTTCCTTGGCCGTCCTGGGGGCCTCAGTGACTTCGGAGGGTTGATGATCATCTGCGCCTTGATCTCGTCAGCCTGTCCTTGATCTGCTGTTTCATGATCTGCTGTTTCATGATCTGCCGTTTCATTCCAGAGGGTCTTGTCTGGGATCGGGTGTATGGTCTGCGAGTATGTCTTGCGGTATGTTGCCACCGTGAAGCAGCTCTCGGTGTAGCGGTGGACGTTCTGCCTACAGGAGAGGAGCGCCGCCACACCATGGGCACATGGGACGCCATAGAGCTGCCACCCACGGCACAAACAGCACCTGTTGCGAATGTCCACAATGTTTGTTCCCTCGTGAGCTGAGATGACCTCGAATTCCGCCTCGTTGGCTCGGGCCACCTGGTAGCCCCGTGCACGCTCGATGGCCTCTTGCACACGACGCTCGGCTGCGGGCACGAGGATTGTGTTCCACTGCATGCTAGCTTCACGACGCTCGTTGAACCAAGTCATCAGCTGGCGACGGATGCATTCCATCATCTGAATTATAGGAAGGCCAGAGGCATCCAGTATCCAGGAATTTAGTGACTCCGTGATGTTTGCTGTTAGATGACCGTACCTTGTCCCCTCAAAGTAAGCCGTGGCCCAAAGACGTGGAGGCAGGTGCCTTATCCAGACAACAGCTTCTGATGACGTGTCCTCTATCTCCAGCAGCTTAGTTTCAAACTCTATCACAGTCAGTGCATGAGCAGCTTCCCAGAGAAAGTTGACAAGCACTGGATTGTTGAACTCCTTTTTGAAGGTTTCACTAACATGACGCATACAGTACCCATGGAATGCAGTTGGGAAGTTGAATTCAACTCCATCAGTAATGCCCTTCCGTCTATCTGACAGGATGGTGAGCCTTGGCATGTTCTCTGTGTTCTTCTCCAGCAACTCATGTAACTCAGACAAGAACCATACCCAGTTCTCATCAGTTTCCTCATCAACCACGCCAAATGCCAAAGGAAAGAGAGCACCATCCCCATCAAAACTAGTGGCAAGAAACAAGGTGCCAAGATACTTGTTTTTCAGAAGGGTCCTATCAAGCCCAATAAGTGGCCTGCATGCATTGACGAAACCAAATATTGATGCATTGAATGATATGAAGAGTCGCCGAAAGCAATTGTCATCTGGGTTTCCGTACACTCGAGCTATACTTCCTGGGTTTGTTCTTTCCACCTGTCTACAGTACTCCGGCAAGAGACGGTATCCTTCCTCAAAAGACCCTCGAACCGTAGCCATGATCCGCTCCTTACCTCTCCAAGCTTGTTTGTAGGATAGGGTGATCCCATGGGCCTTGTGGATTTCTTCCAAAATTTCCTTGGGCTTGCATTGTGGGTTCTCACGTAGCCTCTCTTTGACAGTGTTTGCAACCCACTGAACAGATGCCTGCTGATGACCAAGATGGTTGATCCCCACACAGCTGTGGTTGTCATGTATGGTTCTGATGGAGAAGGTGGGCACACCGGGGAGCTTTGCTGCATGTATGCGCCACGGACAGCCCTCGGCAGCACACTTAGCAGTGAACCGGGACTTGTCAGACTTCACTGTCTGTATCTCAAAATGGCAGGCGATGGCTGTGTTGCGGATGGCCCTGCGGCAGCTCATAACGTCTGGAAACTCCTGCCCCACTGTGAGCTGAAACTCAGGGCTCACAACCATGGTCCGTGACTGGACAACAGGAGCGACAGCAAGAGGACCCTGGGAGAGATCGTGTGGCTGCAGCGCGAGCTCATGAGCCTGCTCGAGCGAGAGCTGGTCGAGATTCTGATCAACACCCAGGTGGTGCGTCTCGGCAAGTGTCAGCTCGTGACTCTCCGACAAGTCAAGCTCCTCATGGCGGTGGCCCTGCACTTCCAGTTCCAGTGCCCCAGAGTCCCCCTCATGGCCCTGCCTCAGAGCCAGCTCGCCGGCGTGGTGGCCGTGGTGGTGGTGGTGATGGTCGTGCCCGAGGACCAGCTGGTGGTCGTCATTGTGGTGGTGCCCGAGGACGAGCTGGTGGTCGTGCTCGTGCGACTGGCCCAGGACGAGCTCGTGGTCGTGCGCGTGGCCGCCGAGGTCGAGGTCGTGCGTGTGGCCGAGACCCAGCCCGTGGTCCTGGCCGAAGTCGTGGTGGTTCGGTCCCAGCGCCAGCTCCGCGTCCTGCCCGCGCCCAAGGACCAGCTCGTGGCTCGCCATCGCTGCGTATCACCGCGCCAAGAAACAGAGTGCCTGGCATGACAGAGCATCAACCAAATGAGTCGAATCGAAAGGAATCGGTGATGAAACCCATGGACAAGCAGCGAATCACGTGACTAAGATCGAGAACAAAGGCAGGAGCATCGCGAAAGCTCACCGGGAAGGAAATCGCAGAGGCGGCGGCTGTCCAGTGCCGACAGAAACAGCGAAAATCGCTAAGATTCAATCCCGTCACCGACAGACCCAATCCAACCTTCACGCAGCCATCGCACTGGGAGTAGCCACAGCCATCAGCAAGCAAGCAATCGGAAATTCGGAATCGCCGCGAGAGCGCCGGGACCGACGGGCCAGTCAGTCCCGCCCGAGATCCAAGAAGCAGAGCCCACCCACCGCACGGCGCCGCGGCGCCCCGCGCTCCGGAGCTGCGCGCCAAGGGGAGGGCGGGGAAACAGCGGGTGGATTTGAAGGCCGCGCAGGGGCAGGGAGGGGGAGCGGCTCGAGGGCAAAGAGAGCAAGAGGCGTGGAAAGAAATTGGGGGAAAGCGAGGCGAGGCCGCGAGGGGCAATGGTGGAAGACGGGGGGCGGCGGGGGAGGAGAGGAGGAGATGAGACCCGGACGGGGGAGGGGCATTTAGGTCAAAGCCAGGGCCTCCGGGCTGCGGATCGCTGGGTCATTTCCCGATTTGCCATCGATGGAATTGGGCTTTTTGGGTACCTAACTTGCGTTGGGTAGTAACCGTCGCTCCGTGCCAAGCATCAAAATCTGGTTCTCGGCTCAAACTAAAATTTGGTTGATTTTTGCTCTTTTTAAAAAAAAATAGAACTTTGGTTGGTTTATCTATTCCAAATTTTTGTATATATGGCGTTGACTAAAACTTTTATTCTTATCTACCGCCTAATAAAAACTCAAATTCTGTCAATGCCACTATATGTATATTTTAATCTCTTTCACACGGTAGTTAATCATATATTGATAGTCTTGGCTAATAGATATATCAAAAATATCATTTTTCCTTCCAACTAAACACAAGATTAGTGCACTAATATGCAACTTTGGAAGTTGAAACTTCAGAAAGATGTATTCACTTGAGACCTAGGCCCAGTTCGGTTTACCTAAAACCGACTTGTTCGGCTTGTTTTTTTCGGCGAAACAGTGTTTTTCTCTCACAACAATTCAGCCAGAACAATGCTTTTTCAGCCAGTTCCGAACAGGGCCCTAGTTACGTGTGAGGAGTATTTGGCAGACTTGCCCTCCACAACCGTTGCCACATGCGTAGTCGAGCAGTAGCACGTGCGCAGCAAGCTAGCTCACCGAGCAGTACCAGCCAGCAACCACGTGGCCCACATCGCCCGTTACACTGAGCAACCCACATAGCCGACTTGCATGCACTATCGGTTCCTGGACCAAAGATCCATCTTCTTCTTCTTCTTCGTTGAGCCGCCCATTCGCTCGTTGTCGATCACCTCTACGATTTGGGGATAACTAGTAGAAACAATACTAACATCTGGATGTTCATATGCTTAATCAATTACCTTGGTAGGGAAAGGAAAGGATTAAAGTTTAGCGCCAATAGTATATATGGGAATCACGTTTTTTTAGTGGTCAATAATAAGAGATTTAGGTTCATGCCAATTGCATGTAAAGAATTTCACTATAGAAAAAATTCCATTGGATATTATTGTGCTCAAGTACAATGCAAGGCCCTCATTGCCAATGAGTCAAGACCTATCCTTGGATTGGCTCTCCACTTTCACAATGCAGAAGACTCAGTAGACGACTGCAGTTGTGAGGACACGAACACGATGCGAGATGGAAGTCGATCGGATTGACAGGCAATTTGATGTGTCGTGCTAGGTCTCTAACTCTAATCCATTTGCTACTAGCAAAAGATCAGCCTGCTGCAGTACTTTTTTCTTCTTTAGATTCACCAAGCGTTCTTTTTATATCCGCTGCAGATCCTTTCTTTCAAACTCAATGTAGGTCATTTCCCCCGTCTTGCCAATCTAGTTACAAGAATCAATTACAATCACTATTTTATGCCCGATAATGGGAATTTCTCCGCTATTCCTGGGTGGCTGGTGTTGCTCTCAGTTTATGTGGAACACAAAAAGCATCAGCAACACCAATTGTACCGTACACCAGATTTGGATATGCAAGCAATAATGAGTCTTCTCTAAATTGGAACAAAAATTACGTGGCTGGTGTTGCTCAGTTTGTGGACGTGGACACAAAGCATCAGCAACACCAATTGTAACCTACAGAAGAATTAGATATGCATGCAATAATAATTCTTTCTAAATTGGAACAGAAATTATGAATTTACGTGTCCTGCTTGTTACAGCAAAAAAATATTTGTACAAAAAAAGATAGCATGATCATTCAGAAAAAAAGATGGCACAAAACAGTTCGAGAAGATAAAAAGATGGCACAAAACGCAGTTGACCTTATCGCATTTTACACTAGCTTATCCATCCATGGAATAATCAACCATACCTCCAAAAGTTCAGAATGTGCAGCAGATAATTAGTTTATGTCCATGGGCTATTCCCAGAATTTACTCTGATATATACAAAGAGAACATGAGACGATCAATAACACCTTGCCACTCGTCAGAGGAAGAAACAAGAAATACTCCCAGTCAATGAAGCATCAGCTGAAGCACTGGCATGGCTTAAAAACACCCTATACCATTTGCTTGCATCATACACATTTCAGAACACGATTGACTAGATTAGCCAGATCATTTTAACCAACTTAGATTTATTACCATTGGGCAAAACTGAACTATAGAAAAGGGGGGAAAAGGATATAACTATTGATTGAACAAGGAAACTGAGGAACCATTCTTTATATCACTGCTATGGGGAACTATTACAATTACGCTCAGCTCAGAAACGAACAGCATGGACTCGACCACACATTATTATCAATGCAATCACTAGAACTCTCAATGCCCATTGGCAGGGCGATACGATGGGTACCTGCTTGCTCCATTAGCTGAACTCGGGAAATCCTGCGCCTGATAGGGGTAACCACTTATGTCTGACCCAAAACTAGGCATGGAGATGTCAGTGCGGCTGTATGGCCACTGACTCATCATCAGATCACCAAAATGGCTGCTGCTGGAGTATGAAGGGAGATCAAAGTGTGAATAGCTCCGGTCCCTCAGCCTCCGAGGAGCACTGCTCAATGGACTATAAAACCTTGGTGGCTCCTCGTCAAAGTATTGCTCGGACTGGTCAAACAGGTATGGCTCACCAAACAAGCCATACTCAGGTGTGCTGGCACCATTAGGCATAGAGAATTGTTGAACAAAACCAGGTTGAAGAACCCTTCTCCTGTCACTCTGCTCCTCATCCAACAAGTCGTTGATGATGTCTAGGTGTGGGAACTCATCAGCGACCAAGCCTTGTGGCTGATAGGGAGTAAATCTGGTAGAAATTTCTGACAACAGTTGCTTGCTTCGTGATCTTCCATTCAAACTGAGCTTCGCAATCTCGCTTCTGATGTTCGAACTCGATGGCGTACAATCACCACTGTTGCTGCTGCTGCTAGCTTGCTGTGAGTTCTCTTCTCTGCCCTGATATGGGTTCAGTGACTCGGGCTTTACGGTTCCAAATGTAAACCCAGGTCTCAATGATGTTTCCTCTTTCCTAGACAAGGTCTCTGATAACGGAATGGAAGGTTGCAATGTGAACATCGATTGCGATGGTGCAACTGCTTGCTCAGATGAACCTTGCTGATGTGTGAAACTGCTTCCGCCACCAGAACTTTTCTCCATCATGGCATTGCGATATGTTCGTGAACGGGGAATGAAACTAGGAGCACTGGCAGAGGGTTCAGTTCCCAACCGCCCAACAGCACTCATTGAACGAGAAAGAAGAGGTGCATTCGGAGCTGTTGAAGTGACTGGTGCACTTTGTTTCGCTGCAGGGACTTGTGGGGCACTCAAGGGCCTTGATACTGAAACAACCTGAGTAGTTGCACTGCCAGTTAGGGAAGCCTGTTTCTGCGCTTCAGATTTGGATGGTACAAGCACCTGCAGGGGTCTACTTGTAACTGGAACTGGCTTCTCATTCTGGGTTGCAGCACTGGATACAGGTCCTTTATTCGAAACTAACTGAGCTGCCGGGGTTGAAGAGGCACCTGCTGCCGGGCCTGAAACTTCGCTTGCACGGTGATTCAAACTATTGGTGCTTTCTAGCAAAAATTTTGGTTGATGAGACAAGTTAGGTTGCTTCTTAATAGGGCTCACAGAAGAAAATGAAGACTCCGCCATCCTTGACTTGGAGGGGCTAATGACATCAATGTGCCGTTGTGCATGTTGTTTCCTCTGCAAGACAACTTTATCATCCTGCAAGGAATTAATTTTTATGGTTATTGAACCAAGTTGAACACCAATAGATGATTAAAGAAAAAAAAACTGGAAGAGAAGACTTTTCTACAACACAAATTTTTCTTGAGGAAGAATTAGGGAAAAAAAAAGGATTGCTTCATGGCACATTATAAATCCTTGATGAATAACAAGCATTATCTGAGATATCCAAGGGATGTATACCTCAGGTTCGTGTCTTTCCTTTGAGTGGCTAGAGGCATTGCTGCCAGATCCTATAAAACCATTATGCGCTGAACTTGATCCACCTTGTGCAAATCCTGCCCTTGTTTCAGTATCCTTATTCCTCCGGTTGTTTCCTCTGAATCACAATACAGCATGATCAATACTACAGCATGACCAATACCAACCTATAGTAAGATAGAGGAGTTCATGAAGATATACCTATTGGATGAGGATCTGACGCTTGTCCAGGCACCTCCTGTATATGATCCGTTCACGGTAACTGAAGGGACTGAATCTGATGAACAAGTTGATGAGCTATCATCCACAGTAGAGGTCCTCTTCCCTGCATGGTCATTTTGCACCTCACTACTTCCAGGAACAGTAGCTTGAGTTTCTGAAGCATCTGTCTCCCAATTAACAGGGCTAGAATCCCGGTCTTCAATATCAACATGAAGCACATCTGAATTATCGTCTCTGCTATCAGATATATCAGAAACTTCTTCAGGGTTGTCAGCATTTGAGGACATTTCTTCCGTTTGTCCAGAAAAATCATCCAGGATTCTATCATCAGGACTGCTGTCCATAAGTATTTCCTTATTGATGTCGGACTTGCCACTTTTCCCCTTATTACTTTTTCGACTATTTTTCTTCTGTTTTGCCTAGAGAGATACAGAACATTATAAAACTCCTCAACAAATATAAAAAAGGATACTACATAACTTATCATAGTACATTCAAAAAACAAACTAAAGACAACAGTGAGGACTAGGAACAGTGCAATCACTAATTTCACATACAAAATAAATGAAACATGCCAGAAAAGAAAGCAGAAAAATAGTATTATTAATAGGATGGGCATGATATGCTTGCACCAGAAAATAAATGTTAACCTGTTTTTTCTTGGCACGTTTTTCCTTTTCAGCAGCACTACGCTTTGTCTTAAGTTCAATTTCAGCTAGCCCAGCTGCTTCCTCTTCACGAATGAGTTCCTCTTGGCGCTTCAAAGCCACAGCCTCTTGATGTGCCACTTCTATTCGGCTGTTTCAAAACTTCATAAAGTAAGATGAGCATGCATAACCATAACTGGAGCGGGATTTGAATTCACAGATTTCATCAAGAAGATTTATGTTTACCCAAGAAAATAATTTTAAAACATACTATCATAACCAGATACAACAATTTACTTTACATAAACGGGAGATAGAACTTCTGCAGCTATGTGCTAACATATAAAACAAGCAACATCAGAAAAAGGAATCTCAAACAAACCATGTATCACTGAGAATCAACAATTTATGTTGCTGACATTAATATATGACTTGAGTATGTATTTGTGGACCAAATATTGGAACAATCATCTAGAAAAGTTTGCTTACCTGAATATATGAGCTAAGGCAAAAAGCTCCAATGTCTTCCAGCCTAGCTCTATAAGCCGTCTATCATCACGCTCAATAGAATCTTTGCTGAACTCCTCACCTGAGTTGCCATCCTATAACAAGAGCATCTGTTAGGGCTCCATACATCAGTAGGATGAAATTCATGGAGAGATAAATTGGATAAGGAAATGGAGATTATGCACTCTTTTTTTCAGTTCATAACTCGTTAAGATACAAATCATAGACGATTCCTAAGTCCTGGTCCCATTTCAGAGCAATACTGCATAGGAGTGTTTTTTTTTTCTCGAATAGGCAGAAGAGCTGCCTGTCATTATATCAAGGAAGAAAACACTAATACAAAAACAAAGCAGGAAAACACACACACACACACACAGCAGCAGCAGCAGTAACCCAATAAGTAAACACAGATACACACCATGGCTGAAAGTAATTTTCAATTTAATATGAACTGTCTGAAAACTGTGGGCCTTTGCAGTCTGCACAACATAAAATGTACACCATGATGAAAATGCTTTCAATTTTGATATTGAACATGTAAAACAGGTACATCAGTAAATAGCTGTGCTAGTCCACTGCTTACAAGTTGGAAACACCAAGGATGGACGTTAACCTTAATACCTTATAAACCAATGTGTAAGGGATCAAAGAAACATGCCTACCTTCGTGCGGTTTTGTGAACTTTTATCATCCTTTGTGGGCAATGGTTGGTGTGGCAGTGTGTCCAATGCAGCTCTTTCAAGCAAAAGTATCACATCATCAGCCAAAACAAACATGTCCTGATCAATAAGTACCATTGGAGTGCTGCGAGCATCTGTCTCTGTTAGTTTAGGTATCCCCTTTTTGTTCTTGCTCTGGTATTCAAGTGCCTTGAGCCCGCTATATAGTGAGTCAATTACCAAGGTTGATGTAACTTCTTTCTCTATAAAGAATTGTTTCACTAGAACTTTCAATATGGTTTCAGTCTTTTCCCTTGTCATGTGTCGACGCACACTTGGATCCATTGCTAACCAGAATCCACTGAAACTGCAATATGCCAAAAAAAAAAAAAAAAAAAAAGGCTTGGAAATGAGACTTGCCATAAAACACTAACGTGCCGTTCAGAAGTTTATCTAACCTGGACCACCCCAGTTTATCCTCAATCAACCTGCTAAGCTTGCTTCTTCTTTCATCAATAAAGCGCCGGCAAATTTGTTCCACATTTGATAGATACACCCTAATTAGTTCCCTTCGGTACTGGCCATCAAGGCAACGAAATGGACGGTCTGTCTTCTCCCTCAAATATTTGAATGCAGAAGCAGACATGGTTATGCAAAGTAGACAGATACTTCCCACTTGAAAATAATTGATGCTAGCGTTGAATGTAAGACGCAAAGAAAACAGATACCTGATAACTTGAACTTGGGCTTTGATGGTAAGAACATCCTCAACAATAAAGCCATCGTGTAATTTTGACAGCTCCATAAACTTTTTCCACCCCCAATCATGCTCTTTCTTCCAAAACCGATGCAGTGTATCTGAAATGTTACTTTCCATAAACTACAGTTGCAGAAGGCAAGCAAAAGCTTGCTGTTTTAGCTCTAGGCACTAGGAAAGCGAGACAGTAGTCACATTGAACTCACCAGAATACTTAGACTTCTTAGGGTCTCTATTAATTACAGCTATTGTAAATTGCGCAAAGTGACTCCATCCTGAATAAAAGCAAATCATATTGAAGATATACAGAGGAGTCACAAACTGAAGTGAGTCAATCAAATACAATGCATCAAATTATGCATCTACCTGGGAGTAACTTATCATGGTTGGCAACACAAAGAAAGAGTGAGAGGTGATTGCAGACATCACATCCTTGTGGGTAAATTAAGATATACCTGAAAATCAGCTGATATATCTCAAAATATGATGCAGAAACTATATAAGCATAAAAACCTAAAGCAAATTAAAATATCAAAAAGAAAAAGATGTAACAAACAAAAAAATGGCTACAAAAATATATGCATAACTGCTCATGTCCCCAATTAGCTTATTTTATGCGTACTTAAATATAAAAATAGGACAAGAACAGCACTTTCTTCTTCTTGTTCTTCAGTATGTAAGAACAAGGGCAACATGAAAAAGAACTTGGTAAACAAAAACTGAAAAGGAAACAGAATACAGTATGCTCAAGACTCCAAGGAAAGTAACTTTTGCTTCGGTTAACCAAAAAATATTGACATAGGAAACATGTCAACAGAGATGGATACCAGTAGAGAAAATGCTACTTTTACTATCACAATGGTATTCCTTCTCCATGTCTATAAATGCTAAAATTACGATTTGCTGGCAAAACGCATATCGCCATGAGCAGGCCGAACACCAATTACAGCTTAATTGACCAGCTGCCAGTGAGTTCAACTGTTGACAGATGCAGTCTGTGATACCAAATGAGCCTATTCAACAATCAGGCAACTCACAAGGTTACCTGTGTTCAGGACTAGTTTCTTTTCAACATAAGCTGTTCAATCACTTTTCAAATGGATGGTCAACCTTCAGAATAGTTCAAATAAAACATGCAAACAGTGGAACCTGTGCTGAAAATTAAACATACTGGTTGTGTTCACACCTTCTCTAGTTAACAGCTATATCCTTGCAAAGACACTAAAAACTAATCCCTCCGTCCCTATAAGATAGTCATTCTATTTTGTCCTAAACCAAATCATCTTAAGTTTGACCAAATTTATACAACAGAAAAATATCAATATTTATGGTACCAAATAAGTATTATTAGATATATCATGGAATATATTTTCGTGTATGCCTATTTGGTGTCATAAATGTCAATACACTTCTCTACAAACTTGGTCAATAGGATATTTTACTTAAGACAGTCTAGAATGACTTTCTTTTAGGTACAGTGGGAGTAATAGCCAAATCACAAATAGCAGGCAAGTAAGAAGACCAGATACAGCACAGTAGAAACATGTCTGTGGTACAATAAAATCTAAAAAGGAAACGGTCCAATTAATGACAATAAGACCCATACCACTTAAATCCACCAACATCAAAGGAATTACTTCTTAGCTCTCTCTTGTTGATTTGGGAGAAATTATCAATTCTCCATGTAAACTTCCCATAAAGCTCAGAAGGCCTAGGTCCTATACAAGACAAATAGACAATGGAATTACCAGGTCAAGCACCAACTGATGCCAAAATCTTTAATATTGCAAAAGGTTGAAATGCACAGACCATATAAATCAGCTTATCAGAAACATGTAATCCAGTAGAATAAAAACTAGGATAATCATCATCTCATAATTACAAGCCAATTTTAAGAAAAAAACATGTCCAACTCAGTAATGTTCACACAAAACACAAAAAGCTAAATACTCCAGTTACAAATAAGGGGTGCCTTTGGGGTTGTCTCAAGTTAATCATTCCAAACTTTGACTACAAAATACATTTTCCAGGTTGGATTTGAATGTTTGGAAGTGATATGAGTAGATTTGAATATGCAACAACAACAACAAAGCCTTTAAGTCCCAAACAAGTTGGGGTAGGCTAGAGAAGCAATCAAGGTTCAGGCACGTGAATAGCTGTTTTCCAAGCACTCCTATCTAAGGCTAAGTCTTTGGGTATATTCCATCCTTTCAAATCTCCTTTTATTGCCTCTACCCAAGTATGAGTAGATTTGAATATGCATTTCCAATAATTTTTTGATATGCATTATAACAGAAAGTAGAACTAAGTTTGGAATAGTTGACTTAGGACAACACAAAAATGTCACTTATTTGTGACTGTAGGGAGTTGTTATATAATGAAACCCTATAGTTTTCTAGTACAAGCACCAGGTGCCAACCTTTTAGAACAGTGAACTACAACGATAAATGTTCTTGAATGCAACTTCTGGTGCTCTAAAAAAGTTACATGTAAGAAATTTCAAAGCAGCTTAACTACTTAGGCCCAAAAGGGACCTCAAGCTTGAGTGTAGTTGATCTAAATAACTGAATATTGGGATTGTTGGAAATCTCTTGCACACTAGACATAGCTTTTGGTCCTGCAACTCACAAGGCAGCCTTTTATGTTACACTAGCTTATAGTTATAGTGCAGAGGATTAAGTCGGTTTGACAAATCGACTTGATACTACAAACCTAACTTTGCCACAATAGTTCAGTGGATTGTACTTAGCCTGCTCCTGTCAACACCTGCTACTGACTTACAGGATAACAGGAAAAAAAATCAACTTGACTTCATAGTCTCCTGCAGCAGGACTATTTTAATAGGTAAGAAAAAGCATTTAGTGATCAAGATTTATCTACCACAGACAGACCCCACGACCAAACAAGTCACAAGTCCAGACAATCTCCCTATAAACACTCACTTTTTTAGACCATTCATGACAAGTATCACAGCTATCATCTTTTTAGTACATCTCTACATCTGCTGTTCTTGCCTGTGCGAAACCAATGAATGATCCATTGGTACAAGGCTTCAACAATGCTCCTGATTCCTCAAGAAGCTAGTTATCCTAAACCTAAAAGATTGACCCAAACGACTGCAGTGAAAAACTAAACTTCCTAAAGGTGATACAAGTATCTAAAGGTATCATCTTATTGCATGGGCAAGTTATTAGACATTTAGACTGCACTGAATCATACCTAAATGGGTTAGGTAGTAAAAGGGCGTACCCAGTGCGGAGAGCTCCCGCTCTGTGCGGGGTTTGGGGAAGGGTGTTAGTGGCAAGCCTTACCCTCGCCTATGCAATGCGAGGAGACCGCAACTCGAACCCGGACCTTCCGGTCACAGGCGGTAAGACTCTACCGCTTGCACCAGGCCCGCCCTTCAAATGGGTTAAGTAGTACCTTAACCAATTTAGTTGAGACTCCTCATGGAACAAATTACCTAGGAATAGATAAATCTAGCTGGTCCACATAATATCATAACATCAGAAGGAAGATTAGAAAAAAAAGGGCGTACCCAGTGCAGAGAGCTCCCGCTCTGTGCGGGGTCTGGGGAAGGGTGTTAGTGGCAAGCCTTACCCTCGCCTGTGCAATGCGAGGAGACCGCGACTCGAACCCGGGACCTTCCGGCCACAGGGATAAGACTCTACCGCTTGCACCAGGCCCGCCAGAAGGAAGATTAGAAAGATCTAGCTAAAAGAATTTGCAAGAAAGAGATACTGACAAATGTGAGAAGAGTTGGAAAACATACCACAGTCATCATCATCAGTGTCTGAGTACGCTGGTGAAGTGGATGGTGTTCCATTCTCAACTTGCTCACTCGACCTCCACTCAGCTAAAGAATCCCCAGAATGACTCTGTTGGTCACTCGGCATCTCTTCAGTTGATGAGGATCTAGCATCCCCACCATTGTCCTCAGTCAAAATGCCAGCCATTATCCTATCGCCTGAACAAGTACAGCTTCGTTGCACTTGTCGTTTTCCTTCCTGCAGTTTCAAGAAACTAGAATGGTAAGTTTCTATTTCGCTAGACGACCAGAAAAAAGGGGCATACCCAGTGCAGAGAGCTCCCGCTGTGTGCGGGGTCTGGGAAGGGTGTCAGTGGCAAGCCTTACCCTCGCCTGTGCAATGCGAGGAGACCGCGACTCGAACCCGGGACCTTCCGGGCACAGGCAGTAAGACTCTACCGCTTGCACCAGGCCCACCCTTCATTCACTAGACGACCAGAGAGAAAAAAAAAAGAGAAATTCAAAAGTGAGGCTACAGAGATAGGTCGCAAAAGTAACAAGCTTTGTAGACAGTACAAACAATTGCTAACTAGCCAGTCTACATAACTCATGCCGCATGCATCTCGTGCCTAGTGGCCGCAAAAGCATGCATGGTACCAAGCAGGCATTGCAGACAATGAGACAACAAAAGGAAATGGCAATCGAACCCCTGGAATCACATCCATATTCAAGACACAACCGGAGCAAAAGTCACATCCAAAAGAGTGAAGTCATTCTCATGATATCAGGAATGCTTTCTAATCCCCGTAACACCATTCCTGACCGCAAAAACTCCTCAAATTTCAAGAGGAAGTAACTAGTCTTATCCGAAAGCAATAATCTAGCGTCAAAAGAGCAGAAAGCCTCCACGGGATCAAACAATACATAAAAACTGAAAGCCTCCACGGGATCAAACCATACATAAATCATGAATCGGAGCTGGATTACTTTCCGAAACCGCAAGAATTATATACTGCAGCTGCCTCCGAAACCACCACCGAATGAACGAACGAATTGACTGGGAGTCAGGAACAGGGTCCGAGTAACCCAGCCCAATCCAATCCAATCCAATCCAAGCGCGCGCCGGACCCGTTCTCGCGAGGGAACGCAGCCTACGAGACCGAACGAGCCGTCTCTAGATCGGGAGGCGCCGCGCCGCAATGCTCACCTGGCCGGGAAATCTCCCCGATTCAGCTCGGATCTGACCCCCGACCGGGGAGGCCGCCACGCGCGCCGTGCGTGCGCCCCAACGGCCCGCGCGGAGATCGATAGCTCTCCCTGTTTCCCGTCCGCTCGTCGTCGTCGACTGCGGCGGCGGCGTGCGCGAGCGCCCTAGTCGAGTCGGAGAGGGGGGAGGGGGGGATGAGGTGTGGTGAAATGGAGTCGGGGGAGGGTGGCTGTTGAATAATCGGATCGGGTTTAGGTTTAGCCCCCCTTCCCTCCCCTCCCCTGTGCTCTGCTTTCCTTCTTCCGTCTCTCTAGCCTAGCCTACGTTTGGCTCGTTTCTGTGTCTTGGCTATATTCCACGGTTATTTACATTTTTTTCGCAGTTATTTACGGCCATCGATAATTATTTATCTCGCGGTTTGGTCATGATTTATTATGATGGTTGTACATGATTTATGATGATGGTTGTATTTTTAGAAGTTATTTGTGGTGATAGATTACTCCTTTTGCAGCGAGTCAGCGATGAATAAGTATATCCAAAACAAAAATAGACTATTGTATATACTGATATTATGGATCAAAACAAATGGTTCTAGAGCGTTAATGTCATATGGTTGTAGAGCGTTACTGCCACCATGTGTTGGCTCGCATTGTTGTGGAATGTAGTGGCAATAAGAGAGCAGTTATCGGAGGTAATCGTGCAACAAGTTATTTAGTGCCTATGGTTGCAAAGTAAGATAACCATCGCTACTACAATAGGGCTTATTTAGATCTCCTAAAGTTATGGTACTGAGGTGAATTTTTTTAAAAAAATCCAAACATATGGATTGAGAGGATTCTTATAACCTAACCACCAAACTATGAGAATCCAGTTATTGACCTCCACTCTATTATTTAGAGATATTGGGTGTTAAACATCTTCAGCCACTATTCTAGGGGATCTATTTTTTTATCTATAGCTAGATTCTACAAATACTATCTAGAATCTAGAACATCATAATCTTTAAGCGATCCAGAGTCAAACGCCTTAGTAGACGGGGCAAATGACATAATTCTCTTAGGCATTGCCACAAAAATTGTCGAAGCTACCAAAGGGAAAATGGCCAGAAGAACTCATAGTTGCTGTTTGGGCACACAATATCTCCGAGTCAAGAGCCACCAAGTTCACACCATTCATTCTTTTGTTCGGTGAAGAAGCAATCTTACAGAGGAAATCATTCATCACATTAGTTACCAAGAACTTAATTTCCAAACCCTCCTTAGAATGAATCCATCAGCAAGGACACAATCAAAGCTATCTAGTGTGAAGCGGTACAGAACATTCACAAAAACCAGAATGAAACCCGAAGGTGGCGGAACCAAAAGGTGGCACCAAGAGAAATCACTCCACATGAGTTTGTCATCCTTCGCAAAGCAAATGCAAGAACAATGCACAAACTACAACCGAAGTAGTTAGTGCCACATATAGTCTTCAAGTCAACAAGACTTAGATCATTCCACCTCTAATGCCTTGAAGTTGACGGCAACACGATAGACCACACTTGAAACATTTACGACCTCCAAAAATACTACCATAGTGATGCATGTAGCAATGCTCGCATATTATAATTTCCCATTTAAGGCCAAGGTGAAATAATGTCTCCCGAATTCTCTAGTGTACCACTGTCCACTGGAGTTCTCACCGGATAATGTCTATATAGTAACGGTTTGGATTTGTGTCTATCAGATGCCACCTGAATTCTCTAGCGTACTTCACTGGAAAAAACTAGTGTTTGTTTTTCAGCTGAGTGGAGTTCCAACCACTAGTTTTGGGCGCTTGGCTTATATATACTCCATCCTCTTGTGCATTGAAGCTCTCTTGGAAGCCAGGGCAAATAGCTACACATACTTGAGTCCACAAGAGTGATTTGCCCTATTGGAATGATTAGGAAGTCTTAATTGAAGATTAAGGATTAATGTTTAGAGAGCAAAAAGTGTGCATCTACTCTTCTCATTAAGCTTGGTTGGGTCAAGTGAGAGTTTGTGTTTGTTGTGATCGACATCACCTAGACGGCTTTGGTGGTGGTGTGGCTTGGTGAACTCTCGATGACACTTGCGAGATGCCCAAGAAGGTGTACATGATTGTGCAAACTTGTTCACGACGAGAGTAGAAGGTCGACGGTGGCCACTAGTATGTAGAGGCGGCCCTGCTCAAACTAAGGAGGTCTGACGAGCAATAGCGCACGCTAAACAAGATGAAACTAAACAAGATTGGCCTCAACCCACTCCTTACCTCACCGCTGAAAGCTCTAGTTTGGTTTTGGTGAATTGATGAAACCCTAAGTGCTAACCTAATTTATCAAAATAATTATGAAATAGGTAGCACTACTCCAAGTGATGAAGCAAATGAAGATCATGACATGATGATAGTGATGGCATGGTGATGATCAAATGCTTGGACTTAGAAAAGAAGAAAGAAAAACAAAAAGTTCAAGGCAAAGGTGAAACTTGATAGGAGCTTTTTCGTTTTGGTTATCGAGACACCTAGTGAGTGTGATCACATTTAGGATCGATAGCCATACTAGTAAGAGAGGTGAAACTCGTATCAAAATGCGGTTATCAAAGTGCCACTAGATGCTCTAACTCATTGCATATGCATTTAGGATCTAGTGGAGTGCTAACACCCTTGAAAACATTTGTGAAAATAGGCTAACACATGTGCACAAGGTGTACACTTGGTGGTGTTGGCACATTTGCAAAGGAGAAGAAGTTGGTGAAGAAAAGGAGTTGAATGCGCTGGTCACGGGGTGACCGGACGCGTCCGACATGAATACCGGACGCGTCCGACATGAATACCGGACGCGTCCGGTACTGTCTCAGGCGACAGTGTTCCTGACGTGACCGGACACGTCCGATATCAATACCGGACACGTCTGGTATTCTGGCCAGGCACGGGCAGAGTTGCTGAGGTGACCGGACTCTGGCTCATAGCAGTGACCGGACGCTGAGCAATCACTGTTTAGCGTCAGGTTGTGGTGACGTGGGGCGCGGGTGTTGGTCCAGAGAGGACCAGACGCAGGGGTGCGTCCGGTCGGCCACACCGAACGCGTCCGGTCATAGTTGAGCGGCTCTGGGAGCTCTTTGGACTCGACCGGACGTTGCCCCTCCTACGTTCGGTCGACCACACCGGATGCATCCGGTCGCAGTTGAGTGGCTCTAGAAGCTCGCTGGACTCAACCGGACGCTGCCCCTCCTACGTCCGGTCGACCACTGTAGTGCGTCCGATGCATCGCATCAGAGCATGTCAGAGAGGGCCGTTGGGCGGCAACGGTTATTTCGTTTGAATGGGACACGTGGCGGTCAAGCAGTGACCGGATGCAGCGACCGGACGCGTCCGGTCGCCACACCAGACGCGTCCAGTGCACATGACCTGCGCGTCCGGTCGTCCCGCAGTCAGTCCAATAATTGAGCCAACGGCTCTATTGTTTGGGGGTGTCTATAAATATCATTTAGCCGGCTCTAGCTCACTCTCTTGGCCATTTGCATTGACATAGCAACCTTATGAGCTTAGCCAAAGCTCTCTCACTTATCTCCATCATTGATTCATCATCTTTGTGAGATTAAGAGAGAATCCAAGTGCATCGCTTGAGTGTTTGCATTTAGAGGCACTTGGTGTTCGTGTTTCGCTGCAAGATTCACTTGTTACTCTTGATGGTTGCCGCCACCTAGACGGCTTGGAGCAGCGAGGATCATCGAGCGGAGGTTGGTGATTGTCTTCGGCTCCGATCGTGGTGATTGTGAGGAGTTCATAACCTTTCCTTGGCGGAGAGCCAAAAGGTACTCTAGTAAATTGCTCATGGCTTGTGTGATCCTCATCTTGTGTTGGCTGTGTGGCACCCTATTGAGGGTTTGGCGTGTGATGCCAATTAGCGCGTGAACCTCCAAGTGAGTGAATCGCCATAACGAGGACTAGCTTGTCGGCAAGCAAGTGAACCCCGATAAAAAATCATTGTGTCTTCATTTGATTCCGAGGTGATTGGTCTTTATTGGTATTCATTCTTGTGATTGATTGGTTCATTCCTCAACTCAACAGTATAACCATCTTGCTCTCTCTCTTTATATTACCGCAAACTAGTTGTCAAGCTCTTTAGTGTAGCTAGTAGTAAGAGCTTGTTAGTTTGGTTAGTGTGGCTCTTTAGTTAGACTTTGAGAGCACACTAACTTAGTGTAGTGACATAGCCATTGTGTGGATAGATATTATGGATACTAGAATTGTGGTAGGTGGCTTGCATTTTTAGTAGGCTAGCGCAACACTCGTGTCGCCTCATATTTGTCTAACTGGTTTGCTAAGTATTGTTGTAGAAATTTTAATAGGCTATTTACCCCCTCTAGCCATTAGGACCTTTCAACCGCGTAGCTCTGGAAAGGGTTATTGGTGTCAATTAAGCATAGGAGGCGGTGGAGTGCTATGGTGACAATGCTACTAGGGTTCATGAAAAGGAACAACGTGACATGGGGCTATGGCCCTATATAGGTCAACGGAGAGGAGGAGAGAGATCGCGGGGTGCACTGTCATTACTATTGCATCCTCCAAGAAAAAACATAAGGCTCTGTTATGATGACGCCATCACTGCAGCTTTGACTGAGGGAGAGACGGGAGGTGGAAGATGAAGTGACGTGGAGGCTGATGGGTGTGGCTAGGCTGCCAGCGGGGCAACGAAGATGTGGAGCTAGCTAGCTTGTTGGGCCGCTGCTGGGTTGAGGAGGAGAGCGTGCTGGCGGGACCAAGCTAAAAAGGTAGGCCAAGCTGAGGAGCGCAGGAAACTGCTAGCTTGTTGGGCCACTGCTAGGCCGAGGTGGAGAGTGCGTGGGCGGGACCAAGAAGGCATGCCAAGCTGAGGAGTGCAAGGAAAAACAAAAAAGATGGTCCAGTGAATGGGTTAAGCTAGCAGGTAGAGCTGAACACTAGAGAAAGTAAAAGAAAAAAGCAAGTTGGGCTAGATTAGTTGTTGGTTTGAAAAGCAAAAAAGGAAGAAAGATAAAGAAAACTCCTTTTCTTTTTACCGGTTTTCAAGTTGAATTTCATGCAAAACTAGCCTATCAGAGCAATCAAACATGCACCTTCATGTATGCAACAAAATATATTTCCAAGCCATATATTTAATTTTAATTTCATAAAAACATATTATTTGGCCTATGTTAAAACATGAAAAAATGAATAAAAAAGGAAAACTATTTGCTAATTAGGAAA